ACGATTACCCCCCCGCCCACAAAGAGCTCGAGGCCTGTGCCAAAATGCGAGAAAACGGCCAAGTTTGCCACCCAGGCACAACCCGAGAAGATGCCCACGCCCCCGCCGAGAAAGACTAAAATCCCGGCACCACTGGCATTAATGGCCAGGAAATTGATCGTGAAAGTACAGCCCGAGCTAACGAGTACACCGCCCAGAACAGCGACCAAAAAGCCGACCCCAAAGCCATTGATGAAGAGCTGCGAGTTCGTAAATGTCACACCGGACAGAACAGCGACGCCCGCAACCACGAGCAGATCAGCCCCCACAACGTAGATCTCACGGAAGAGCACACCTGGCTGCAAGACCCAGAAATGTGAAAGCGTGATGGTTACGATCCCACCGGTGACAAAAACCTGACCACCGAACACGCGAACGGCGCGGGAGACATCGGGGGCGATCAGAATAGCAGGCATGCCCACAGGCGGGGCGTTCGTGAAAATGACACCGAATGCCGAAAAGCGGCCGCCAAGTTCAACCAAAGCCGTCCCACCGCGCAAGACGGGGATGGTAGCAATGAGTTCACCGCCACCTCGGTATGTGCGCACAAATTGGAGGTCGAGGTTGCCGCCCGCCACAATGTGGAAGATGCGCTTCGAGTCGGCGCCATCGATCGTGGGCAGGGAGATAGGATTACCGATAATGACCTTGCGAGTCGAAATAGTAATGTCGTCATCGCTGTCCGGCAAGGCCACATTATATATCTTGCCCGGGAGCAGGCTTATGATTGCGCAACGGGAGGGGTCTTCCGCCATCTGCCTCAACTCCATACCCGACTGAGGAACGCAGGCGCTACCAGAAATCAGACTCGTATCCTTTAACATGGTGCTGAAGAAATCTTCACTAGCTGCGCCAGCTTCTTCTCCAAACACGCCACCGATCAGATCCGAAGACTTCTCAGCCACCCCGTCGAGCACCTTGTATCCGGGTAAAGAGCCCCCGGGGCCGTCGGGGAGGCTCTCCGTACTGACCTCTTCTGGCTCGACGGGCTCTGCAACAATAGGAGCTTTGTCCTATTCGTAGAGATGAAGGAGTATGTGTCATCATGAGCAAGGGTCCTTGTCATGGAAGAAGCATCGCTCCACGTACCGCGGGGCTCGGGGGTGGTACAACTGTTTCAATGCTGCTCGCCTCCTCGACTACTCCGTCGGCAGGCTGTAAATGTATTTTAGAAATAGAGGAAGAGATGTCACTGTGCACATTCACTTATGAAGGATAGTTATAGAGAACGTAACCTCCAACGATTTTCAAGAGCATTCAATGCCTCCGTATCTTACCGCAGGAGACTGCGAGGCATGCTTTTCCTCAGGTTGGAAGGCTATCACTATCCCCGCAATAAGACCGATTGTGGCTAGTGCAGCGAAAAGAACTAGCAGAGACTTTTTCCTGGGAGTGATATAGTGCGAAGCATTGACAAAGTGAAGTGAATTTCGTGATCCTTATGTTCTCCTGTCCCACTCGTGCCCTGCCTCGACCGCATTTCTCCTTAGTAATTTTTCAAACTTACCATCCTCGTCTCTGCCACCACGGCTCTATGGGCCGCGTGCCCTCGACAGCCATAGCGCACAGGAAATCAGGTGTCTAAGAGCAGCCTCAAGTAGATATACAAAGCTTGCAGGCCGTATAAGGCTTGAACCCTTGAGGCCTGTAAGAATAGTGTCGACGAGAAAGTTTTGACATAGCGATTGGATTATTAAGAGTAAAAGCTTAACATTCTATTGGGATTTGCGCTTGAAAACTTTTGCGGCCGATACATGTGGGGCAAAGCTTAAAAGCCCAATGAGCTTGAATCTAGCCTGCAGCCAACGGTTGAACTCTTCTCCACCTTTAAAAAACATTTCCCAATGGAAGTTACAATAACACTTCAATAAATACAACTACACACTTCATATCGAGTAATTACCAGCCAAGGAGTACTCTGCTAAGATGCTCGATCAATAAATTCTATGCATGGGCCGGCATGGGCCCGCGCCCAACTGCGGTCGCCCCAACACGTGATGCGTACAAAGACCAGAAGACAAGACGAGTTTCCAATGATCATGACAGGTGCTCTGCACGAATACAGCACTACGATTAGCGCGCGCAAGAGAAAGGTGGTCAGGACATGATGTCAAGACGAAAGCGCACATATTCAGTCAGGCCTAATTCCGGTGAGAAACCGATGGCGGGCTTGAGAGACGGACGCAGGTGCCGGCCCCCTCTAACGGCCGGCCGGCGGCTGCCCCATCCCCCCGACGAGCCATTGTCCATGTTAAAATTTTCCTGTCGCCCACCACAAGCCTAACCGCATCATATTCTTACCATTATGATAAGCAACATATGAAAACTGGATCGATCATGCCTCTCACGTTTCTCAGATAACTGGGAGATAATCCATTCCAATCCGTTCATCCGTTGGCGCTGTCTATAACGTGACATTGCAATTAAAATTGAGAGACTTACTATTTTTCACCAAGCGCGATTAGATGGCCACTCCGCTGGCTTATCAAAATTGCTAAAATGAAAATTGTCACTCCAACAATGCTTCGTCTTACCTCTGAAGTCAAGGACGGCATTGCGATGACAGACCCAAGAGCAAGAAATGGGAGGCTTATAAGATACAAAAGTTCATCAGATTTGTGAACGGTTTGTGAGAGTTAAAATCTGCTAAAATGTAGTTTTAATGTTGTATGATGTACTTATGGAGTCATCTAGGTCTTGAATATCCGTGAGTGAAAAAGCGTTTTCTAAAACGTGTGAGATGGGAAGTATATATATGTAGAGGTAAAAAATGTTTTTTGTTAGACACAAGGTGGGAAAAATTCTACAATCAGGCCTTAATTTTTCCAGGTATAGATTAACATCTACGAACTCAAGAAAAGAAATGTATAATTTTAATTTCAAAAGATTCGTTTTAACGTTCTGTTTCCTGTCGTGGGAGCTGTACGAAAGATGAAGGGCTTTATTGGAGAACTAGCCACGGCATTCGGGGTACAAGCAAATTACGTGGCGATCTGTGCATTTATCTTCAATTTTATGCTTTCATCACCACGATTTAACGTTTGCAACTATTACTGGTCGACGAGAAATGCCGTCACACCGTAAGGTTCCGCTTCCAGACTACCCGGATGTGGCCCTCGGCCGTTAGCCGGTCTCGCTGCTCGAGTTCCGCTGCGTGCGGAAGCGCCCATCACCGCGGGCACCCAGCCCCGCTATCGCATCTTGTACAGCTAAGTTCATGTTGGCTCTTCTACAAAGGTCTTAGTTATTTATTTTTGATGTAGTCGGCGGGCTGTAAGGGAGATATGCAGAGAGAGCCTATCGCAAATCTCTCACGGCCCATGTCGTTGACAAAAGCTCCTCACACGTTCCGGCCTTTCATACTTTTCCCCCTTACGCTTGTAGACACTCACACCCAGTTAGTGTAATATATACTCACGGAGTTTTGGAAAAAGGATGCGCGCTTCCTTCCGGGTAGTCCTCTTCGCCGCGGTCTTGGGATTGGTGGCTGCATCCAATACTTTGCTACCCAGAACGATGTGGGAACGCAGGGCTCGGACTGATAAGCGCCGCGCTGAGAATCTAGGTGAAAAAACGATTCCAACAAGTACAGATGAACTTCGAGAAATGCTTAAGATCAATGAGGGCTCTCTATCGTCATTCAGCAAGGTGGCCATGGACCTCGTCAGGTAACAAACGATAAGTAGCGTTTTGAGAAGCCAGTCAGCGAGTTCGATGTCGTTATGTTTTTTGGGCTCCGGCCCAGCAGTCTCCAGTACATTCCTTATACTTCAGCCAATTGGGTGTATCACTTTTCATCCTCTTCTCCTCGTTTTGCACTGCAGCAAGGTAGACTTTGCTTCCGCGGACCCGCAGCTCTTCGACCGGATGTTCAGCACTTTCAAGATTCTGAAGCAGTCTCCCGCTTATACAGATGCCATGAAACCTGACTCTGGACTTGATATGACAAATACGGCCACGGTGCGTTTCTGACAGGGATAAAAGGGACGATGCGACCCCACGTGGTAAAGAATGGATGCTTTTCAATGTACCCTCAACATTTCCTGGACCCTCCTCTTTGATACCACAGAAAAGCAAAGTACTCGCCGATGCCGTTGGACAACTCATTAACCTTGGCGTGAATTTGCGAGGAGGTATGGCGTCGGTCAACTCGAAGGAAGGTGGAATCAACAACAAGGTCTTGGAGTTCTTGAGGAATGGGGATGAGGCCACGCTTGCTCTGGCCGAGAAGGTGAAAGCGGGAGATAGCTCAGCGATCTGGGACCTTCAACAAAAATTCATGTCGGCGGAATTCCCGGGCTTGAATTTAAAGGAACTGCCGGACGACGACTTCATCAAAGCCGCCCGCACCCTCTTTACCAAGGACGAGGGTCTGAGCGGGCTGATCGGCGAGGAGAACACCCTGGAGGTGCTCATGGACGAAGACCTTCTCTTCGGAAACAACCCCACGCTGCAAGGACTCATCTAAAAGATGGGCGAGTGGACGAAAACTTGACGAGAGGAGCGGTGGGGGCGGGAGAAAGTTGTAGGGAGGCCAGAGGGGCGGGACAGGTGGCTCGGAAGCAGGGTGGGTAGCGCCCCGAATCAGCAATATGGTTTTCCGTTGGGCTGAGAATGAATAGGATGGGGCACTGACACCCCTGTGCAGGAGGGACGGGTATGAGTGTTTGTGTGATGAATACAGCGCAGGAGCGAGTGCTGCAAGAGGGATAATCAGGAGAGAAGTGGGCTGCTCCATAGAAGATTCATCGATGGGGGGGCTGGCAACTCCTGTGAAGGAGGCTCAGAGCCAATGACTGGGCAGTCGAGCCGGAGAGAAATGAAATACCTCGCGGCGACGATATCATGACAAAAGAATCAAACCCAAACGTTAGCCGGCAACGGTCACTTAGCATAGCAATCACAAACTTTAGCTAGCATTATGAAAAAAAAAAGATTGACCTGCATGATTTAAAGAAAGCTTAGGCTAGCCTAAGATTTTATTCTGTTACTCTGTGGGACGCATGCCCCACATACCCCCAGGGTGTCCCTGTGCTGCCGCATGTGACTGCGCGTGCTCGGGAAATTGTCACCTCTATGTACACGACAGCTTTTCACAACCTTAGATAGACTGTTCTGCCTTTTTTACCTCCGAGTTTGCCTTCTGCGCTCTCTCTTCCTCCCTTCGGAGTCTAGCTTGCCGGGGGGGGTGCCTTCATCCCATCAGTCATAACAATCGAAAACGGGAGGCTTTGATTAAAGGCTACCAGATCCCCAACGCGGCTTCGCTGCTGTCCACCTATCCCTGCAGCTTGTGCCATCGCCGCAAATCCAGCATGCGATTCCCCAGCCCCTCCTAGTCCCCCCCCTTGGCCCCCAAAACTCCGAGCTCTCTTGCTATGCTGCGTATGTCTCGAGCGGGAGGCAAATTTCTCCTCCATTTCCATAGATGGAGGCTCCTGCTGTATAAAGGATGCAACCGACAAAGCTCGAGACCCTCCTGAGCCTGGGTCGGGGCGGACGCTATCATGGGTGTGGAAGTCTTCGAACTTTTCATCGATGCACATGGCCTCCAAGCCCCGCTCAGGCGGTTCGGTCTCGTTTAAAGCTTTGCGTTTTCGCGCAGAGCAGTCAAGCTCACATGTGCTGACAAGCGTGTCCATACTCGTGCTTGCGCTTGACCCGGACGGCACAGATATGGCCTCAGCGGCGGGGTGAGACGCGAACGACGGAAGCTCCGGAAGCGTGCTCGTAGTCCGGCCTCTTTTGTCGCCAGCGCTGGTCCTCCGCACAGCTTGCCCTTTCAGCATTTCTCTGGCTTGTGCGTGGTAAAGATCCGTGTGGTGCACGTAGGCTTCTGCTGCAGCCGAATTGACTGCCACGTCAACATTAGCTTCCAAGAGCGCGAGATGGATGCCGAAGATGAGGGTGCTGAGCGACAGTGTAGGCCGCCAGTCTTCCCCGATGATAGGCAGGATGACTTGCCCTGTCGAGGCGCACACGTTGGGATGCCAACAGCAGGAGTGGCAGGTGACACGGGGCGGCTTGAAGGGGTAGGAAGGGGGCACTTCCAGCTCGAAGAGAAGGGGTACGCCTTCGAAAGGGCTTTCCCGCGGCCCTAGCATGGTCACCTGCCAATGAAGCAGCTTTTGAAAGTCTACGGGTGCATTGCTACATTTAGGATCGGCGTTGCATTGTTTTGTACCAAATTTTCTGCTCGCCCAGGGCTGGACAGAGCAGTTGGGGGGCAACTCGCTCTGCTGAAGCTCCTTCTTCACACGGATTACTGCTCTCCCGTAGTTGTCCTGACTATTTTGTGGCCGTTGAATGCGATAATGATCGGAGGTATAACCATAGCCCTCGTGCATACTGTCTCCGCCGTCTGGCCACGTGCTAGAGAAGGGGCCAGCTACTGACTGCCGGTCGTGAGCTTTTTGTCCTTCCTCCAGCAGCCGTCTTTCAATCCACAACAAAAATTGGCTTGTACCACACGCTTTCTTCCAAGCACGACTGGAACAGGGGAAAGTTTCAACTGCGATCGCGTGCTTCCTGTAAGGATGTGAAATTTGAGTACTTGAAGATGTTTATGGGCACGGAAATTTGTACAGGGGCCGCTTGAAGCCATGTCGCCCATCCAAGTGGGTCCGGGTAGCTTTTCTCAGGCCCCTGCCACCTGGCCTGTATATCGCACATGTGCACGTCGGTGTTCAAGGTGAAAATGACATTTACCAGCGAGCGGACTTTGAACCATGGAAGTTTCTGTGTTATTGGTGCTTTCTTCTACAACGGTCCATTTCATCTTTTTGAGAGTCCGATGACTTCTTAACTGCTTCCTCTCCCAGAGGTTTATTTTCAACCCTTCACAACAGCGATCGGGCGAAGTTTAATTGCTTTTCGGCTTATACCAGCCTCATGACACGTATCTACTACCTGTGTCACATCCTTGTACGACTCTGGTGCCTCCTCCATGACCAGTTTCGGACTAGCGACGCGAATAGATATCCCTTTCTCCTCCAAGGCCGCCAACACCTCCGTGTATTCCAGGGTTTTCCGACTCTTGTTTCGACTCTGCGCCCGCCCAGCCCCGTGACACGTGCTACCGAAAGTCTCCTCCAAGCCTTTGTCCGTGCCTGTGAGTACATAGCTGCATGTGCCCATGGTCCCCCCTATCAAGACAGGCTGACCAGTGAACTGGTAGTCCACCGGAATGAGGGGATGATTTGGGGGGAAAGCGCGCGTGGAGCCTTTCCGGTGGACCAACAAGGTCTTGGGCCTCCCTTGGTACATGTGCTCTTCCACCTTGGCGATGTTATGGGAGACGTCGTAGATCACGTGCATGTCCAGGTCGTCGGGCGTCGCCTCGAACATCTTCGCGAAGGCCTGCCGCGTCAAAAAGGTCATGCTCGACCGGTTTACCCAGGCGAAATTGGCGGCAGCCGCCATGGCCGCCAGGTAGTTCTGTCCCTCCGGACTCTGGATCCGGGCGCAGGCCAGTTGCCTGTCGTTCGTGAGGATGCCGTCCCTGGCCATGGCCCTCTCCATCTCCACCAAGGCGTCAGTGGCCACCTGGTGCCCCAAGCCCCGGCTTCCCGAGTGAATCATCACACATACCTGTCCAATCTGATCGATCCCCATCCTCGCTGCCGCCCGCGGGTCGTGGATCTCCTCCACCACCTGGATCTCTGCATAGTGGTTCCCAGCGCCCAGAGTACCCAGCTGCGGCAGGCCTCTCTTCTTGGCCCGCATTCCCACCTTGGTCGGGTCTGCTTGCCGCATACGCCCGTTCTCCTCGCAGTGCTCGTTGTCCTCCGCCCAGGCGTACCCCTCTCTCAGGGACCAGTCCATGCCCATCTCCAAGGCGGCCTCCAAGTCCGCCGCTGAGGTCGGAATGACGCCTTTCGACCCCACGCCCACGGGAATGTGGTCAAACAGGGACTGTGTCAGCTTTTCTCGCTTTCCGCGCACGTCTTCTTCCGTCAAATTGGTCCGAATCAGGCGAACACCACAGTTGATGTCGAATCCCACCCCCCCCGGCGAGACAATAGCCTCCGTGTCGGCAACGGCGAACGCGGCCACGTTGCCTATCGCAAAACCATAGCCGGAGTGGACATCGGGCAAACCGATGGACTAACGGGGGGAAAAGATGAGTAAGAAACGAACGCGAGCGACTTCTCGAGTCCTAAAACGCGCTACGATGAGCCCTCTCGCGAGAAACAGAGATGCGCCTCCCTCTAAATCATCACACCTACCCGTCCCACGATCCCCGGCAATGCCGCCACATTTGCGATCTGTTTCACAGCTGGGAGAAATCCGCCGACGCCACCCGCTGTTGTATGCTGCTTGAGCTCCGCGAACATCAGCTCCTCTAATTTGGTGTTGACGTAGAAGGCACCTTCCACCTTCATGTTGGGCACGCAGCCCTTGTCAATGCGGAATCGTGTTGGCGTCTCGCGGTGAAGAAATCCCATTTCTTCTTCAAATGTGCGCACAACGCTTCCATTCGCCATGCTTGTGTGCAATCCTCGATTGACTTTGCTGTGTGGCGGGCCCTGCTCGCGGGGGTTGTGAAAACGGATGAGATAAGCCGAGTGTACCCAATACAAACGAGACCGATGACTTCACGTACTTGCTCTACTATTCAACGTGCAATTTATTCGAAGTACAACGAAAGGCACCCAAGGTTGCTGTGGGGAGCTGTGGCAAACGAAGGTGGGGAGGTCAAGGCAAGAAGTTACTAACTACAGTAGGCGACGTCTTTGCTACACACGTCACTCACTTCCTAACCAGAGGCTCGTATTGATAAGCTCGACAACACTTGCAAAATCTCTCTTCTTGTATAGATAAAGCGCCATGACATTGGCGGAACGTTCAGGGACTGAGGGCGTACGGCTGTGTAGGCGGGACATGCTGGCAGCAGCTAGCGACCCGCCCCCACGTTCTTATTTATGCACGATCACTGGGACTGACGGGGACACTCTTTCTAACACATATGATAGCATGTGGACGCTGCATATTCTTGACGGGGTTCCGATGTTTGAAAATTTTACTCTACCTGCGGACGCATAGTCTCCTGGCGCCTCGTCTTTCCCAACGTGATACTATGGACCCCCCCAGCTCCTCCACCATCGATGCCCTGAAAGCCCTGAATTGTAGCGCGCAGCACTTCGTTGCGGTTGTGGCTTCATGGCTGGTTACTGCCTCGACGCCATCCACATCGCAAAACACCATTGAATTCCCGACATATATGTCATTCAACTACACCATGCACCACTCTCCTCCCTCACTCGGCGACAAGGCCGCAGCTGCTGAGGCTTTAGCCGAAAGTCAAACACAGTGTGGCAACGTCCCGCGTCTGGCGTGCGGGGCCCTGGTGGAGGACGAGGCTACAATTGGAGCGAAGCGCCTGGGCGAGTACTTGGTTCGACTGCTGCGGGGGGAGTCCCTGTCTGCCCCTTCGACCTTACTGCAAGAGACGTCCGCGTTCGGGTGGCTCCCGGCCCACGCTT